TCCCAGAGCATAAAACCTCTCTACACATGGCTCTCGATCTTCTCAGGCTTGTTAAAACTTTTGCTTCTCTATAAAACTCCCCCAGCTTTCCAGATAATATAAATCTGGCATGAGAGTTAGAAAGATGTCCATATCTCCTGGTATGGGGATAGGAAAGACACACTCAAAACTCGGTCAAAGTCTCAGCTCCACCATTTACTCATTGAAGTTAGGCTACCTACAGTAACTTCAGTTTCCTTTCTGTAAAATGGCATGGGTAAAAAAGCAGAAAATTTTACCCTTTGTGAAAGCATGGATGGACCTGAAGAACATTATGCTAAGTGAAATAAGCCAGTCAGAGAAAGACAAATACCACATGATTTCACTCATACGTGGAATCAATGAACAAACTGAACTAATAAACAAAATAGGGAGACTCTCAGAGAGAGTGTGGGATGACTGCTAAGGAAGGGTTGTTTAAAAGGTAGCGAGATTGAGCAGAAAGGAAAAAGGGCTCATGGACATGGACTCATGGTATGGTGACTGCAGGGTGAAGAGGGGTACAAGGGGGGTAAATGGTAATGGAAAAAATACAATTAAAAAACTAAAATAAATAAATAATAAAATAAAATAAAATGGTGTGGGTAATGGATGCCTGAAAGGTTTTGTGAGAATATTAACTGAGATGACTTTTTAAATGATTATAAATAGCACATAAAACTACCCAATAAATGTTAGCCAGACATAGTAATAGTAAGATCAGTAATTATATTTATATTAACAATACCTATTAATACATTTTAGGATTCTGAATTATTACATACATCTCATATACATTTATGACGTACTTATATCTGAGGTCTCATGCTTGACCATAGAAAATTTGCTTAAAAATAATGGTTAAATAATTTTTTAGACATCTCTCTTTAGTGAAAATATGGATGATTAAACCATTCTCAAAGTAGCATACTCTTGGACTCAAACAGATAAAATCAGAAGAAAATAAAAATAAAGTATGAGATGATTAAAATGTACTATAATTGGATATCATTTTCAACTATTTGCTACAAATACAGTTAACCAGGTACTGATACCAATCACACTTTGTATTTACCATATTTTATTAGTTAGAAACAAATTGCACATCTCTATTGAATTCAAACTCAAAAGGAAGAAGTCATACAAAGGCATGGACAGCAGGACACAGAAATCATAGATGTCTCATTAGAATGTTAACTCCCACAGTAGATGGTCTCTAACACTAAAAAAAGTCAATAAACAATATGCACACAAATGTGCTTGAGAGTTTTAATATGGAGTCAAAACTGAAAGAATCAGCTAAAATATATGAAAATGATTGCCACTGTAGAGTAGTACAGAAAGCAGGACCAATTTACTTTTTAATTATTTAGCTCATTAAACTATGTGCATGCATATGTTGTTTTATTTTCATTGGATTTTACTTTCACCAAATAATTGTAATGTGGTCCTTGTATAGAAGATGCTTAAACTTTGCTCAAATACTAAAAAGTAATGGAAGCAGAAAATTTCGGCTGGAAAGCAATTCCTGAGAAAAGATCTAAGAGATTTTGTTGACTGAAAACTCAAAATAAGTCAATAATGAGATATAGTTGTTATATCCTCTCATTGAAGTATGATAAATAGATAGGAAAAAATAACTGTTATACAGTATTCTGTATCAAATATTCCATATTTGAAGTAATATTTATTTCTAGGCTCCTAATTTGATTTCATTTTTCTATTGTTATAATATCAATGGTTTATTTTTATTATAAAATCAATATATTATTTCTATGGAAATTTTGGAAAATAGAAAAAAGGAACCTGTAATAACAATTTGGTATTGATGCTTTAATGTTATATATATATGAAAGTTGGTACATAGGACAATGATGTCTTAGTCCCCTTCAAAGTAGGCACCTTGGGACCTCACGCAATTCTCCTAGTTGCCACCAGTTGTCCCGTCATATTTTCCTGAATCTTACTGATGGTCTGAAATCTCTTCCCTTTCAAAGGTGATTTTAGTTTTCAGAAAAACCAGAAGTCACAACCTCTACACAGTTCTACAACTTAAATAAAATAGACAAATTCCCTGGTCACCAATGATCAAAACTGCCTGAGGCCATGACCTGTGTGGCTCAGTTGGTTGAGCACCATCCTGAAAAATGAAAGGTCACTGGTTCAATTCCTGGTCATGGCATATGCCAGTCAGGGCACCTATGAGACATAATCAGTATTTCTTATATCAATGTTTTCCTCCGTTTCTTTCTCCCTTCTTTCCCCTCTTTTTAAAAATAAATAAATAAAATCTTTAAAAACAAGTAAATGCCCAAGCAGATACTCTTAAATACATTAAATTTTTAGTTAAAAACCTCGTGGGTCACATAAAGCTCTACTAGGCTCAAATGGCTCTGCTCGTGAATGTTGGCAAACACTTAGGAAAAAAAATACAAAATTTATAAAAATTCTTCTATTACAAGAAAAAAAACAAGGAAAAATTAATACCTCCCAACTATTTTATAAGCCAACATTACCTTAATAAGAAATAAAAACTACAAATACCTCCCATGAACACAGATGCAAAAATACCTTGCAAACTTTTAGCAAACATGTCCAAAAAATATTAAAATAGATAACACATCTTGACCAAAGGAGCTAAGAATGCAAATGTGGTATGACATTTAAAAATAAATCAGTGTAATGAACCATATTAATGATATTTTTTAAAGAAATTTAAAAAAATTTGTATGGTCATACTAAAAGATACAAGGGAAAATAATCTATTAACGCTGTCCAACATTTGTTCCTGAGAAAAGTTTTCACTCAGCAAACTAGAAAGAGAAGGGACTTCCTCAAACTAGTAAAATACCTAATAAAAAAATCTATAGCTAAGATCATAATTAGTGGTGAAAAACTAAATCTTCTCCCTTGAAAATCAGAAAAAAAAAAAACACTTTCTGCTTTTACCATTTTTATTCAATAGACTACTGGTGGTTCTAGCTACTATAATAAGATAAATAAATAAATAAATAAATAAATAGTAAAAGGCATCCAATTTAGTAAAGAATAGGCAATTTTTTATTCTCTGATGATGTGATTGTCAATGTAGAAAGTCCTATGAATTTACAAAAAATAACTGAAAAATAAACCTATTATAAGTAATAGCTGAGTTCAGCCTGGTTGTACAAGATCAGTATATTAGTATATGACACAAGATCAGTATATTAAAATTTTTCATATTTCTATGTACCAGTAATAAATATTAGAATATTAAAATTTATAAAATACATTTATAAGATGATACACTGTATATCTTAATTTAAAAGACTGCAATTCATAGATCAGATGATTAAATCGTGTTAATATGTCGATTTTTCCCAAATTAATAAACAGAGTCAATGACACCCAATCAGAACCCAAGCAGGTATTTTTTTTTAGAAATTGACAAGCTGATTCTCAAATTCATATGGAAATTCTAAGGACCTAGAATAGTCAAAACGACTTTGAAAAAGAAGAACAAAGTTTGAGGACTTGAACTACATCACTTCAAGACATTATGAATCTATAATAATCAAGCCAGGGCCAGGATCAAGTGAAGCAAACAGGGTGCATGTGGCACAAAATTTAAAGAATCATTTCCTCTTAGCATCATGCAAGTTCAGGAGCGACATTTTCACAAACCTGAGAGTGATGCCTCTTTAAATTTTATGCCTTAAATTTAAGCACCTTACTTGTTTCATCCCAGTCCTGGTTCTGATCAAGTTAGTGTGGTATTGACATCAAAATCAGTGCAGTCATTGCATTGAAATGCACAAATATATTAATATAACATGAGACACAGTCCAGGAAAAAAACCACACATATGTGGTCAATTGATTTTCAACACAGATGAAAAGGCAATTTAATGTACAACAGACATTTCTTTAAGGAAAATATATAAATAAATAGTCAGCAAGGACATGAAGAAAAAATCAACATTATTAACCATCAGGGAAATGCAAATCACAATGAGTTATTACTTCATACCTACTAGGATAACTTTAATCAAAGACACAAATAATAGAAAGTGTTGGCAAGGAGGTGAAGAATGGGAACCCTCACGCATTGCTGATAGATATGTAATGTGTACAGCCAGTAAGGAAAACAAGGAGTTCACCAAAAAATTAAAGATAGAAATATTCAAAATGAACAAATCCATAGAGACAGAAAGTAGACACAAAATGGTTGCCTATGCCTGAGGACAAGAAAGTTCTGTGGGAAATCTGGAGTGACCGCTAATCAAAGAAACCACATTGTTTCTTTGTGTGGGAAAGAGGGTAATAAAGTTGGTTATAGTTAACATTAGTCTGCTAGGGCTGCTTAAACAAAGTACCACATCATGGACGATTTAAACAAAAAACTTACTGTCTCACAATCCCGGAAGCTAGAAGTCTGAGATCAAGGTGTCAGTCCAGTTGTTCCTTCTGAGGGCTGTGAGAGTCACACTGCCTTCCCATTTTACATACCTATATCCAAAATTCCCCTTCTTATAAGGACATAAATCATATTGGATTAGAGCCCGTCCTAATTATTTTACTTTAACTTGATTACCTTTATAATCCAAATAAGGTCATATTCCAAGGTACTAGAGGTTAGGACTTCAACATATGAATGGGGTGGGGGATAATTCAACCCCTAAAAATAGTGATGATTGAATAACATTGAATATCTAAAAACCATTCAGTTGTACATTTCAAATGAATGAATTGTATGGTATATGAATTATACCCTAATAAATCTATTATATAAAAAATAAAAATGTAGAATGAACCTTTTAAAAATCCTAACAGACAACTAAAAAATGGTCAAATTTTAACTGACATTTCACCAAAGTCCTAATAATTGCATGAAAACACATGTAAAGTTCTCAATACCATTAATCATTAGGAAAATTCAAATCAAATTCAGTGCAATACCATTGTATGCCAAATAAAATAGCTAAACTTAAAATATTAATTTAAGTACAAACTTGGTCACTAACGCTGGATGATGTTGCAAAAGTGAAGGGAACCAGGTCTGATAAAGTAAATTTGGCCATAGAATTGCATCAGCCCCAGAAGCTACTGAGGTGATCCATTCTATCCCAGCACAGTGTAACTACCAGTTACTGCTAATACTTAACAATTCTAAAGATTGCACTCACATGTTTACTTGATTTTTGGCACTGTGTGATAAAAGGGCAGTATCACAAAAGTTGGGGATTGGGAAAGTTCGTTTCAAATCGTAAGTACTTGAAATCTTCCCACAAAGTTTGTGTCTCTTTCAACCCAAGTTAAATATTCTCTATCCTCCTTGGTTGTAGTTTTTAAAAATAACACTCCTGTGTCTTCTTTTATTTTATAGAGAAAAATAAAATAAACTGAAAATAAAAGATTGATTTTACCAAGTAATAGCAAAGATGAAGAGCACGTGAAACTCCTATGTACTGCTTATCAGAGGTCAAAATTTCACATCCACTTCGAAAAAATGTGTGTGAATTTTATATAAAGTGAAACATACAGTTCCATTTCTAGATATTGTCCAATGTTGTATAATAAAGAATTGGCTGGCTTTGTCTCCTGATTCCAGGAAATGGGCATTTAAATCCTCAGAATCGCCTCCTATTAGGAGTGTCTTTGTTATTCATGATGAGTCCCTAGTGCCACACCTTCTGAGATTATGCTAATGAATGGCACACTCTGGGTCCCTAAAGAGTTTTAGGGTGGACGTTAACCATGCCAGAAAGACCAACCACATGATTAGAGCATTAGAGTTTTAAAGCCATGTGATATCTGTCCAAACTTCCAGCTTTCAGGAGGAGGAGAGAGGCTGAGGCTTATGTTTAATCATGTGGTGATGATTCAATCAATCAAAAATGAAACATCATCAAAAATTCTGGACATTTTAAACTCAGGGTAGTTTCCCTGGTTAGTAAAATACATTTATTTACTAGAAGGGTGATATATCCTGAGAAAATGGAAACTTTATGTTTGGGATCTTCCAAACTTATCCCAATATGTCTCTTAGTCTTGTGGGTTTTTTTGTTTTGTTTTGTTTTTGTTTTGTTTTTGTTTTTGCTATAATAAAACTGTTATTATAAGTGTAGCACTTTCTTGAGCTCTGTGAGACATTCTAAATAATTACTGTTGGGGGTGTGGAAGTAGAAACTCTCCCCTGAATTTGTAGTCAGTTGGTCAAAAGTGTAGGTAGCCTGGAAACCCTCAATCTGCTGCTGGCGTCTAAAGTGAGGGCAAGATTTGCGGAAGGCTGTGCCCTTAACCTGTGAAGTTTGATCTGAGCTGAGTAGTTTGTGTCAAACATGATTTATACCCAAGAAAATTGGAAACCTTACATGAATGTTACATGAAAACATTACATGAATGTTCACAGCAGCTGTATAATAAATGTCCAAGGATCAGAAACAACCCAAATATCCATCTACAATGAAAGAATAAATAAGTACTAGTGTATCCATTCAATGTAATGTTACCAATTAGCAAAACGGAATTTATTATTGACACATGGAACAAATGAAAAAATATCAAATTTATTTTACTAAATAAAATGATCCAGACACAGAAGATTAATATTGTAAAATTCCATTGGTATAAATTCAAGTGACAGTAAATAGATTAGTTGTTGCCAGGTGCTAAAAATGGAGGAAGGATATTTTTACAAACAGGATTGATTGAAATTTTTGTAGTTACAGGAATGTTAATGATGAATAGCACCAGATGTTAGACCTCGGTCTTTGAGTTTTGTCTAAGAAAGCATTTAGAGTCAAGACACAAATACAAGCAAAAGTTTATTTAGAAAGTCACAGAGGTAGAAGAAGTGAGCTGTGGAAGAAGTGAGCCAGCTGGCTGCTTGGGCTCAGGAAACAAGTTACAGAGGCAAAAGAAGGGCCCTTGGAACTTAGGGAGAAATGTGCTTTGAGGGGAAAAAGGGGGAGACAATTGTGTGTGTGTGTGTGTGTGTGTGTGTGTGTGTGTGAGAGAGAGAGAGAGAGAGAGTTAGAGAGACAGAGACAGAGACAGAGACAGAGAGACAGAGAGACACTGGGTCTTTCACCTTAAAGGGATTTATCTGTTTCCTAAAGGTGGGGATTTTAGTGGAGGTCCCTAGGAGGATCGCAATAGGATATGCATCAGCTTTTCAGGTGTGTTTCCTCAGGGTCATGATCTCCACTGATTGGTCAGCTCTAGGGCAGATGTTCATTAGTCATCACAGCTGGTCCTGATGTCAGCCATGGTGTCGCTTCACCTGGCCTTGATGCTTTTCTAGGCCTGGAACTGAAACAGAACTGAGGCCTAGATGTAATTTCTTTTGACCAAAGCTCTCTCTGTGGCCAACAGAGCCAAGGCTTTGTTCCTAAGATTATTTTATTCAGGTCAGAACTTCATTGTCTTGAGAGCTTAATGCTCAAAGGGGTAGTCATGCAAGGGTTTGTATGGGCATATATAAGGCTGTTTCTCAGACCCCCTTTGTCCTCCTCATAAGGGAGTCTAAACCACATGATCAGTGATAAGCTAGGGGAGAAAAGCCACCCTGGAAGTTAGGTCCTACCTTACAAATTGTCCATTGCTAGGCACCTGGGGCTTTCTGCTGAGTGACCTTCTGTACCTGGCTTATCGCTCCTACTCTGCTCATGTACATCTAACTGCCTACTGTATCAGAAATATTTCATGTCATGACTGTAATGGTGTTTACAAGTCTTTATACATCATCTTGGCCTCAATGTCACATAATTATAATAATTGATCCTAGTCAAATTTTAGATATTACTTTAAATGACATTATTTAATTTCTTTATTTCTTTGGAGGTTAAATGGATATATCCACTGCGTGAAAATTTATCAACTTGTACCCTTATTATTTGTCCAACTTTTGACATGAATATAAAATTTTACTTCATTAGTTTATGTTCTTAAATGTTATTGTTTGCAACTCATTAGGTTTTTAAAGCTTTTTTTATAGCTCTTATACATTTCTTAAATGTATTTGTAATCATTTATTTTATGGGTTTTGCTAATACTTTAGTAGAATATCCTTCATTATATTTTCTTATTTATATTTGGCATATGAAAAACTATTGTACTTTCAGAAAATAATTTTGTAAATTAACCATTTCTAAACTTTTTCACTTGATTTTTTACTGTTTCCATCTAAGCTATCAAATTAATGGAAATAATAACAGTTTTACTGGCTTTTTTATGTTTATGGTTCTTGCTTCCTTCTCTTGTCAACTGTACTATCTCAAAGTTTTAGGAATATGGCAAATGATAGTGGTGGTACGCTACACGCTTCTCCTTTTTATTTGAATTAGAATTCTTTCAATAATCAAGTCTGAAATATTGATGCTGGCTAGTTCAAAATGGATAATTGTCAAGTTAAGAAATGCCCTTTTTTTCTATTTTACTAACATTATAAAATCAAAAATACACATTGAATTTTATCCAAAACTTTATGTCATTTATTTAAAATCTTTTACCATATTTTGCTGTGCATAAATGCACAAAATTTTGAGGGAAAATTTTGAGGGCTGACATTATCTATACATAGTGCTGATTCTGTATCTATATAAATGGTTTTCATTCTTTTGTTTATGCTTATGCTTTAAAAGTGTAACTCTACAAAGCAATAGCCATATCTGTATGCAAAATAATACCCTGGAATGTGATAATTGGTTTTGTTTCTAAATATAAATAAAAAATTGAATTAAAAACTAAATGAAAGATTTTTTCCTTTAAGTTTGGGCCAAAAACATGGGTGCACTTTATACACAGCAAAATATGGTAATTTCCTTCTTTTGGTAAAGTACTATACTATATTTTTAATTGACTTTTTAAATTATCCATTCTTATATTCCTCAAATAAATCCTATTTGTTATTATTTTATCAATATTCTGTCAGATTAATTTTCAGTTTATTGTTTAGTATTTAAGCATGTTTCTTTTGTAGTTTGCTTTTTCTGTGATTTCTTAATCAGATTCAGGATGCATAAAAACTTCTTAGTTATAAAAATAAGTAAGGTCTTTATTTTGTTGTCAGTGTTGTAGTAACACAGACAATATTTGGCCTTTGAGCACTGAAAGAACTTTCCCATGAAAGCTTTGGATTCAGTCTCAGCTGATAAGATGAGAGCTTTAGAAGTTGTGTTCTTTTGGGGAACCATTTCCATTGTGCTAGTTCTGGAAGACCAGAGCCAGTGGATTGACTTAACTGGGGTGTTTCTCTTTACGTGACAAGAGAGGTTGAATGATATAGCTTTTTATATAATCTTCTTTTTATTTATTTCATTCAGTACTATTCAAATATCTTCCTCATTAATAACTTCTTAGTCACTGAGCTTCAAAGAATCCCTTTCTTTCAGGGATTCAATGACCCAGGTCCACAAGAGGATGTGGGTCATTGTCAGCACAAGGGTAGTCCACAGATAGCTCCTGAAGAGAAACAAAAGAGCTAGAAGTAGAAAATGCAAGGATACAGACCTTGAACCATAGAAACAAGCCATAGGTTACTTGAGTGCCAACGTTGAATAAATGCTGGAGCTTATGGGAAATGGGAGAATCAGAACAGAGATCCACAACATGGATCTAAAAGATAAAAAATAAAATTCAGCAATCAACAAATTCTTATTCAATCTTACAAATGTAAAGAGCTTTAAATCAAATTTATTGTATGTTTAGTTCCCTTTAGATCACATTCTGGGCCTTAATAGGCAATACCAATATAAAATAGAGCAATATGAAGAGGTACATGATGCAAAACCTGAAAAGCATTTAAGAGCAGCAATAGCTGATCAGGAGCACACTTGCAATCCAGAGACTGATAGAACTTGTTTCTTTACTTTCTCTTTGTGTTGATTTTCTGTCCATTCTGTTTTTGATGGAAAAACAAAAGTTCTTACTTCATCTCTCTCTCTCTCTCTCTCTCTCTCTCTCTCTCTCTCTCTCTCTCTCTTATTCCTTCATTCCTTCCTTTTCTACCTACTTTGCTTGCAGCTTCTAGGCTTCGTGCTGCTTCTGCCCCTAATATTTCACACTGTGGAATCTGCTAAATTCCGTGCTTGACAATCAGATTCTCACTCTGTTCTAGGAAGGTTCCATTCTTCT